GAAGGAAGAGAGGCACCCTGACACCAGTTTGGTACACAATCTTGAAACAGACAGGAAGGAAGAGAGGCACCCTGACACCAGTTTGACACACAAACTTGAAACAGACATGAAGGAAGAGAGGCACCCTGACACCAGTTCTATACACAAGCTTGAAACAGACAGGAAGGAAGAGAAGCACCCTGACACCAGTGTGGTGTACAATCTTGAAACAGACTGGAAGGAAGAAAAGCACCCTGACACCAGTTTGGTACACAATCTTGAAACAGACAGGAAGGAAGAGGGGCACCCTGACACCAGTTCTATACACCAGCTTGAAACAGACATGAAGGAAGAGAGGCACCCTGACACCAGTGTGGTATACAATCTTGAAACAGACAGGAAGGAAGAGAGGCACCCTGACACCAGTTTGGTAAACAATCTTGAAACAGACAGGAAGGAAGAGAGGCACCCTGACACCAGTGTGGTATACAATCCTGAAACAGACTGGAAGGAAGAGAGGCACCCTGACACCAGTTTGGTACACAATCTTGAAACAGACAGGAAGGAAGAGAGGCACCCTGACACCAGTTCTATACACCAGCTTGAAACAGACATGAAGGAAGAGAGACACCCTGATACCAGTTTGGCACAGAAGCTTGAAACAGACAGGAAGGAAGAGAGGCACCCTGACACCAGTTCTATACACCAGCTTGAAACAGAAAGGAAGGAAGAGAAGTACCCTGACACTAGTTTGGTACACAAGCTTGAAACAGATGTGAAGAAAGAGAGGCACCCTGACACCAGTTTGGTACACAAGCATGAAACAGACAGGAAGGAAGAGAGGCACCCTGACATCAGTTTGGTACACAAGCTTGAAACAGATAGGAAGGAAGTAAGACAACCTGAAACTGTTTCTGTTTATAAGCTTCAAACAGACGTGAAGGAAGAGAGATATCCTGAAACCAGTTCTGTACCCAAGCTTGAAACAGAAAGGCAGGATGGGACTCAACTTGAAACACATCAGTTTAAAATAAAAAAAAGAATATTGGTGAGCATTGTAACAGGGGATATTTTGAAGGATGATTATAGTAATGAGAGAGAAATATTTCACACAGATAATATTGTGACAGAGGATTTACAGTCTGCTAGTTTATCAGATAGAATAGAAGAGGAATTTGAATCAGAACAGTATGAGGAAGTTGATGTCCAGGATTTAAAGTATGTCAGTTTGTCAGGTGGAATAGATGAAGAACATGAATTTGAACTGTGTGAAATGGATGAGGATTCAGAATATTTTAGATTGTCAGACAGAATAGAAGAAGAAAATGAATTAAAACTATATATGCAGGATGACATGGAAGATTTAAGATCTGCTAGATTTTCAGACAGAATAGAGGAAGAAAATGAATTGAAACTATATATGCAGGATGACACTGAGGATTCTGAGGATTTAAAATCTGCTAGATTGTTAAACAGAACAGAGGAAGAAAATGAATTGACACTATATATGCAGGAAAACATTAAGGATTTAAAATCTGCTAGATTGTCAAACAGAATAGAGGAGGAAAATGAATTGAAACTATATATGCAGGATGACATTGAGAATATAAAATCTGCTAGATTGTCAAACAGAATAGAGGAAGAATATGAATTGAAACTATATATGCAGGATGACATTGAGAATGTCGAATCTGCTAGATTGTCAAACAGAATAGAGGAAGAATATGAATATAAACTATATATGCAGGATAATATTGAGGATTTAAAATATGCTAGTGTGTCAGACAGAATAGAGGAAGAAAATGAATATAAACTATGTGTAGAGGATGATGTTCAGAATTTAAAATATTCTAGTTTATCAGAGAGAATAGGAGAAGGACCTGGACTAGGGCTGAATGTATGTGAAGATGTTGCTAATTCCTGCTTTGTCAGTCAGTTAGAGAAAAGAGTAAAAGAACATGAATTGGAATTGTATGAGCAGGATGATGTTGGTGACTTAAAAGGTTGTAGTTTATCAAACAGAACAGGAGAAGAACCTGAACTAGAACTGTATGAAGAGAACGAACTTGGGGATTTAGAATATCATAGTTTGTCAAACAGAATAGGTGAAGCATATGAATTTGAACTATGTGAGAAGGATGAGGAGAAGGATTTAAAATATTTTACTTCATCAGACAGAATAGATGAAGAATATGGACTAGAAATGCATGAGAAGGATGATATTTATGATTTAAAATCTTCCAGACTGTCAGAAGGAATAAAGAAAGAAAATGAATTGGAACTTTATAAACAAGCTGATGATGAATATTTAGAAATTGCAAGTTTGTCAGACAAAACAGATGTAGAACATGACTTGGCACTGGACATATGTGAGAATGGTTATGATTTCAATTCTGCAATTCTGTCAGACAAAAAAATGCAAGAGCATGGTTTGGAGCTGTATGAGAAGGTTAATACTGAAAATTTAATTTCTAGTTTGTCAGAGAAAATAGAAGACCATGACTCTGCTTGTCTTTCAAACAGAATAGGGGGAGAACATGAATTGGAAATGGATTACATTGAAGATTTAAACTTTGCTTGTCTGTCAAGTAGAACAGAGGAAGAACATGAATTAGAAATGGATTCTGATGAAAGTCATTCTGGGAGTGAATCATTAGGGGCTGATGTTGAAAGTGAAGATGAGGCCGATTTTATAGTGTGTGAATATTTTGGAGAACAGCCAAGATGGTCTGAAGTTTTGTGTGAGGAAGACTATGAAGTAATAGAGCTGAATTCTACAGCCAACTGTACCACCAAAATGCATGGAAATAGCTTGAAAAAGTTGGAAGAAAACTATTATTTGGAAGAAAAATCCAAAAATTCTACTCTTGATGATTATGAGATCATAAACATTCCAGAAGCAAAAAAGGAACATGATAGCTTATTTCTGGAAAATACAACATCTTTGTGTGACATAAGCAAATCTTTTATTGATGCAGATCTTAGTCAAACTGAAACTTTACAATCTGAATCAAATCTTGCTTACTCTACAGCTGATGATATGTCAGAATCATTTTTTGGTTATTCTACTGCTAAAGAACAAGCAGAATCCTATTTTGGTTACT